CTTTTTTGTATGGAAAAAAATATCGAACCGTGACACTAAACTATCGAACCGAACCGAATCGTGAATTTTCTGTATTGTTGCACCCCTAATATATATAATTTTTTTTGGCTGGATGTAAGATTTTAAAACTTGGTTAGATGAACATTTTTTGCAGTGTACAGGTATAAATCTGTCAGTCTTATAAATAATAAGCTAAAATTTGATGTGATAGTAGATGAGAGTCATTCTCTACCAGATCTTTTTATTATTTTTTATTTATAAAACTTTATTTTAAAAAAGGGACAGTGGACAACTTGATGGGTTGTACCAGATTATAGCCTAAGCTGTTTCACATTTGCAGTCGCAGGTTCCAAATGAAATATACAAAGCTATAATAAAACAAAACAGAAAAYRTAACAGTGCAGGTTAGTTTCGATCAGATCGTCTCTAAAGGGCGAGTRTGAACAAAATCAGGGAGCGGAGGAGGGGCAGGACCATTCACAGTTTTRTATTTAAAATTTTCTAAGYTCATAAACGTGCRTTTCTCTAGAACYCTACTGTAAGAAAATTTAGTGTTCGTTAACTGAAATCGAGATGAAACCAYATAAATGTTGAATAGATTAAAATGTGAAGAGAAGAGGACCATACAACACCAGTAACTGGAGTAAGTGGTGGTTTAATTTTCTCTGTGCAAACAAGAAGCTAACGCTGAAGAAAGCCTGAAATCCTGGCGTATAAATACAAGCTCTTCAGTGCCTGGTACACCCACCACTGGCCTATGGCTGAATCACAGACACTCCGACAAAAAAAAACCTGCACTTATGCTTGATTGAAGGTTTTTTATGTGTTGTGATGGTGTTTCGGGCATGTATCTAAGCTATTTTAATCAAGACATAACAATAGTCAAACAACGGATTTTAAAAGTCAATACTTAAAGGAAAACTATGGAAATGGTGTAGTGCTTTTAAAATCAGTATCTAACCTGACTAATAAATGTCTTCACTACAGTGGTGGCACACTGGCTTCAGTAAGAGGACTGTTTCAAGCTTTGTTCGAAAAACTTTGACCAAATATAGGCTGATCTTGTTCTGAAACCTTGGCACAAAAGTTGGAGGCAAACATGCAAAAACTTTCAAGGAATGTTTTGTTTTTTTTTGTGGAGTTAAACAGAGAAAAAGAAGCGTGCTGAAGGGGAAACGCTGGCCTCGGCCCACCGTCGCTTCACGCTGAGGGGGAAATTAAAACTGGAATCGGCACGACACCGAAGGGCAGCCGAACCTCAGCTGTAAGTTTACCCGAGCTCCTGCAGAGAGAGACGGAGCGTGATGCACGCTCACGATGCCACGTCTGTGTGTCTTCAAAGAGTCATGACAAGAGAGAGTCACTAGTAAAAAAAAAAACTAAGCAGAGAGCCTGTTAGCCATCAGCGGGACGGGGACTTGTGGCAAATGGAGCGCTGAGTCTAGACTACTTGATCCAGGCATGCTGAGGTCAGGATCATAAAAGTCTCCTTGGACACAGTTCTCAACACAAAACTGGAGCAAAGTGTCCGTTTTTCAGGTCTGGAGCTGTAGTTCAGTTTCTGTAAAAATGTATTTTAATGTGTGGGAAAACTGTAAGTATAGGTAAATATACAAAAAACAAAAATATGAAGGTTAGAAAAACTAAAGTCAGAGTTGCAACGTCCTGAACGAGCTGAAAGTTGTTGTTGTATCGTTGCTTAAAGGGGACAAATCAGTCGAAACTCCAGTGTTTTAGCCGTTAAACACATTTTGTTGCGTGATTGTGCTTCTAGGAGTGCAGAAAACATAAATTTAGTCTCCCCTGGTGCTGAAAATATATCTTTATACAACATCAGAAAGATGGACAAGTCTTCTCTTGTTGACATCTTTTCATTAATTTGTAAATAAAAAGTTTCTGCGCAGCTATATAGTCCTAAACCCCTCTATCAAACTAGAATGGACCACTCTGGAAGCTGGAGGCGGCGGGGCTTGTAGGGCCTCATTTGGATTTAAAGAGACAGCCTCAAAACGAGTTGATCCGAGACACACATCAGAAAAGGGGTGAAAGAGGGGGAACTCAGAGCAAAACATTGCATTTCCACTTTATACAGACCCCAAATGAAGGATTTAATGTGAAAAAGAAGGATTTAAAAGCAGGATATGTCTACTTTAATTAGCTGAAGTTATGTTGAAATAAGGAGTTTGAAAGATGAACAGAAAAAACTACAAACAATAATAAAAGCGCTGACTCTCCACACATTCATCTTAAAGGCGGCCTATTATGGGGGTCTTAGCACAAGTTAGGATCCATCTGTGGGCTATACAAAACATTTGATTTAATTCACAAAACTAATTTTCAGTTCTTCCTGTTCTTCAGCTCTCTCCTGTATGCAGAGGTTGCTAAGAAAACCCACCTCCCATCCGTTTGTTTACKTTAGCTCCGCCCCCCGACATGGTAGAAGTTTCCAAAGTGAAATTATTTTCWCAAACTACAGCTTTCTTTGGCAATATTATTGGAACATTGTCATCAAAAATAAAAATAAAGTTAATCCAGGCATCTCTGTTCTCTGTGGCTGCTGTAAAAACAGCACAACTGTCTTGAAGAAGTGGGCGGAGCTTCACCTTGAGTTGCCTCGCGAGGAGCGGGACTCTGGTTTAGTTTGCTAGGTGACTGTTATTGTGACGTCAGAATAACGTGCTTTGAGAAATACCGTGTTTCCAGATACCTAAAAATACATGTAATTACAGCTAAAAAACGGCTGGGTGCATTGTTTTTTTGGTGTTTGGACTGGTTATCTAAGCAGTAGAGACCCAAAAGCAAGTTTAAAAACATGAAAAAAGTGAGTTTTGCATAAAAGGTGCCCTTTAACTCTGACTTTAAATCCTTCAGTTGGCTAAAGTGGTCTGTAAGCTGTAAAACAGACTATATAACCTGATGAATAAAAGCACCTAAAGTCATTTGGCAGACACAGATTTACAAACCGTTCCCGCCTCCCACCGCAGCGAATGCTTCGGTGGCCGCCACTAATTGACCTTTTAAAGGAATGCAACACCTTCTCCTTGACTGACAGTTGCTTTTAGCGGCTCCTGTGGGATGGGGCAGTGGGCCGGTGGAAGGCGATAGCAGGGTGGGGTGGGGGGAGATCCTCTGGAGATAAACCACTGTGCCCCCCCCACCCCCCACTCCTTGGACAACAAAGAAAGTGAGTGATGTTTGTCTGAAAACCAAGAGCCACGATCCCCTCTTGTTTTGATGTGTGGGGCCACCTGGGACGCGGGTCTCCATCAGCACCCGGGGCCGAGCGGAGAGGAAGAGAAACAGGACTCACACAGATCTCGTCCTCAGGACAAACAATCTGAGTGACAAGCCTGCAGGATCCCACAGAAGTCACCCAACAGACGAGGCATTCAAAGACTCCCAGGAAAAACAAAAAGAGGAAAAAAAAAAACAGCTTAGGTGGCCGAAGAGCCAGAGAGGGACCAATCCTGAACTCTGAGTCCAAAAGTTGAAGGAATTTTTACAAAGTTTAAAATAACTTCATCACATTTCAAACGGACAAGCAGTAAAACTTTAACAAACTTCTGACTCTGATCATAATACGAARCATTTATCAATCTGAAGGTTTTCTTTTCTTAAACCTCCACAGAAATGTTCCCACAATAAAACAGAAGGAAGCGTTTCTTATTTCACCCAGAGTTTAAAACTAAAACCATCGTTAAGAAACAAAAGAGCAAACCTCGAAAATGACGTCATGCTCTGAATATTTGTTGGGTGTGATGCTCAGCTGCCTCCCTGTCAAATTTTAAATCAATATCTGTAAATAACCCTTTAAGTAATAAAATGAATAAGACTAAAAACTCTTGGAAACCATAAACTCACATGTTAACATTACCTGTGCAAAGATTCATGCTGCTAAAATAAACCAGAGCAGAGTTACAGAGGTTTTAGTAAAGAAATAACTCATTCTGCAGGATGGACCGTGTTAATGATGTTAACGGTAAGAAATCTTAGGTTTTTAACTGTGAAATTTAACTTTTTTTTCTTACATGCCTGTAAATGCTTTTTTTTTTCTTAACGTGTGTAGTTTTATTTATTTTTTGAAAATTTACCCACATTTATTTTTCACCCTATTCACATAAAACAATGAGAAATGATTAGATTTGACTC